TTAACCCATTGCCAACGGGCATGTCATGCCATGCCCACTGAGAGTTTACTTATTTGATTGTTTTTACCCATAGATGGCTACACTTGTACTAAGTCACCAATGAACCAATTACGAGTACTGCCTATCTTGCCTGTTCACCCTTTTCTTTAATTTCAAAAACATTATAGTAATTATAATGTTTATAATAAAAATAACACCATCGATATTCATAGCACTAGTAAAAAAAATACATTTCCCCACCAATTAAAGGAAAGATGAAATCAAGTAAGGCAGAGCCATCTATATGTAGAAACATTTCACAAAAAGATATAAAAAATGAGCACAGCATTTTCCCCATTTTGTATTAATTTTCCCCGGCGGCAATGGCTTAAGGTTTATAATTTAGTTTCAGGTAAAGATAAGCCTATTATCAAGGAGCTAAGGTCGTATTCCATTTTCAAGAACACACAAGTTGCTTTTATTGCAGGCAAAGAAACCACCTGCTGGACCTGGGCCACTTGCCCCAGCTTTGCTTTTTATGGCTATTTTCCATTTAAGGGGGTGGGGGGAGGGGAAAAAAAGAATTACTTGCAATATAATGCTCTATGATAAATAGGCATACTCTACAAATTTCTAGTGTAGGAAAATGTTGGTTGTTGATATAGTTTAGAAAATTAATTTGTAGAAAATTAATGCGAACTAATTATACATGTTAATGGCAGCTTATATTTTTATATAAATGTATATTTTTCTTTTTAAGGACAGTAAGTCTGGCTAGAGGATTTCATCACATCACTAGTATGTAGATCATATTAGAAAGTTAAATATTTTGTAGTTATAGTTAAAATGTTTTCTCTTCAAAAGTGTATTTAAAAGCAATGAGTATGTATTTACATAATTCTTTTTCTTTCTTTATCTTTCTTTTTCTCTTTCTTTCTTTTTCTCTTTCTTTCTTTTTCTCTTTCTTTCTTTTTCTCTTTCTTTCTTTTTCTCTTTCTTTCTTTTTCTCTTTCTTTCTTTTTCTCTTTCTTTCTTTTTCTCTCTCTCTCTTTTTCTCTCTCTCTCTCTTTCTCTCTCTCTCTCTCTCTCTCTCTCTCTCTCTCTCTCTCTCTCTCTCTCTCTCTCTCTCTCTCTCTCTCTCTCTCTCTCTCTCTCTCTCTCTCTCTCTCCTCCCTCTCTCTCTCCCCCCCCCCCCCCTCCCAGGTTTTGCTTATCGTTAGCAGTATGAAAGTAAAATCAATTGTCCTTTTCAAAATGTAAAGGAAATTTTGAAGAAATTATATAGTGTAATAATATGGTATGGTCTGTAATTTGCTTAAGATTATTACCAAGGTAGGCTGTGATGATTTGTTATTCCTTGTCACCAGCATTTTTTTTATTCGTTTTGTAAAATGTTACCTGGATAGCCAAGGGATGTTTGAGAGTTTAGTTAACTTCATGGTGTTCACGACAATGAAGTCATCTACTACATCCAAAATTTCAAATGGTCTTGTTCCTTACAGCGTCATCTAGTGTAGAGGAGAAGTAGTGAGGAGGCCACTTCTAGGTAAGTTAAAACTAATGGCCAATTTACTCTCATAAAGTAGCAAAGGAGGTAAGGTTATCATGAAGGTGAGTAAGTTTCCCCTGACCCTCTGCAGGTGAATATTATTTTCTACATTTCTTGCTTTAACATTTCATATTTCAGTGTTAGTTTTCAATGTAGGTAAAAGAATTCATGAATTTTGATAAATGATGGATGTATGGTGCATATGTCTGTGTCCTTGACTTGTCATGGGCAGTTCTCCCATATGTGATTTCTTGTAATGTTTTGTGGCTGTTTTACATGCTTGTTGCATATATGAATGGATGGAGTCTTTATCATACCAAGTAATGCTGTACCTTTCTTGTACACTGGTGAATTTTTACATGGCACTTCCATAGATTTATTACCAAAAGTATGTAAGATATCATTAGTGCTTGGAAGGTAACTTTGGACAGCCATCAGTATTAATGAGCAATTCTGCATTGTAGTTTCAAGTAGTACAAGAGTAGCCTAGTAGTTTGGTAGCACAGGAGTCCAGGTGGTATGATATAGTTCAGGAATTCACTGCAGTGGTTACTAATGATCTTTCAAGAAATGTATGCTAGGTGTAAAGTTGCAGCTATTGTGTGTAATGGGCTTTCATAATGGGGATTCTTAATATTTCATGAAAAGAAAGTCTTATCTACTTTCTTAGGGTGAGAGGGTGCAATCCCCTCCATCAGGCTATGTGTGGCTGTCATTTGATGACAGTAATGACACACCAAATATATAAGAACACTGTATGGAAAAATTGTTACTGCCCTGATTCACCCAGATGATGATCAAATTATTGCACATGATTAAGTTATATTTTGAAGTAAAAGTACAGTATTGCATCGTACCATGAAAAGACCTAGCAGTAGCTAAGTGTTTGAATGCACTGCCCATACTGAGACTTGGCTTTCGATAGTCTTAAGTGTTTTTTAACCAGTCAAAACTACTTCAAAAACATGACTTCTTACAGTGATGATGCGAAAGCCAAATGTTCTCTGCAACAAGAGCACTAGCGTTTCTTTTTTGCCTGCTGTAGTGCAAATGTTATTGTCAGTTATTTGATGTATTATGTAAGTTACAAGGAGAGCATAGGTATAACCTATTGCGATAATGTGAATATGTAAGCTGTGCTCTCTCTGTAGCATTTTTTGGAATAATTTGAATCAGTACTAGATTAGATCTTGTGTTTTAGATTGTCATTTACATTATCCAGACTGAACTGCTACCAGTAGCACCAACTAATCTATTACTTGCATATCATTTTACAACTTGCACCATGTCATCACTTCCCACATTATTTACACACCACCTTGACTTTAGATTTACATCATTAATCACTACTTTTACTATGAAATACCACTATAGCCATGAGCCATAGTTCCATAGTTCAGTTTACACATTCACATACATCATATCCTATCAAACTTCGGCACTACTTGAATGCCAACATTGTTTATACACAGGTTACTTTTTTACTGTACAGTTGCTCTTCAAATTATTATAATAATAATAACAGTGGTCTTCTATTATAGTAGTTATAAGATTTAGTGCTAATGAACACTTAGATTAGGAGGAATTAAAGTTAATGCAATTCTTGAAGTAGTAGTAATATCTTTCCAGATGAGGAAGACCAGTTTTGATGTAAGCAGTTTGCAAATTTTTTTGTTATTATTTTTTTAAGAAACTGTGGTGTAAATAGAATAGGTGAACAGTGTTCCATACAGTGTGTCTATATTACTAGACTGGAGGACCTTGCCTGATGCCTCCCACCCTTCTCTTTGCTGTGCTTTGTAAACATTATTCACACATTGCAAAATTGCTGTCATGTCACATAGACTTTTTTCTTGAAAGAGCTATGTACAGTCACTGCAGACTAAAGCTTCTAAAACTGCTAGCTATACATATTATTAATTGACAAATATAAAATTTACAAAGTTTTAGGTGCTCTTCCTCCCATGATTTTTTCCTTTCTTTTTTTTTATCAATCAATCAATCCTTAACCCCCCCCCCCTTCTCGTTCCCTTCCTCTTCTGTACCATTGATATAACTAGATATTTACTTTCTGCCTTTTGGGAAAATATTTTTATACAAAGTTTCTTTTCCTATCAATTTTTGCTACCATTGGCTCTTTCAGCAGTACCATTTTCCACACCAAATCTTTCACAATTTTACATGATGTGTGTGGCAGTATGCCTCCATTTTCTCAGTAATTCTTTCCTTCCTATGTTAGTCCTCTCTTAAAATTGAAATGTGTGGATGACTGTAAGTTGATTACGGTGATTAAGTTTTGAGTATAATTTTAACCTGTTGTCCAAGAAACAAATAATATCCATAGGGAAAATGTAGGAACTAAAAGAGTTTGCATTTTTTATTTGATGGATATATTACATAATTTGGGTATATAATCAAAGGATAAAAGAACTAAATACATTTTTTTTTTTTTTTTCTTTTGTATTAGACAAAAAAAAAAAAAAATAATAATAATAATAATAATAAATAAAATAACCTCCAATCAAGCCATGGAAATGATTATTACTACATTGTATGTCTTTTCATTAACAAACTTTTTTTTACAGTCTGAAAAGGTTAATAACACATCAATTATTACAGAATACATTTATCTGACTTCATGGATTATTCCTGAAAACAAGTTGGAAAAATGTCTACGCTAAGTTGAGTACAATAAAACCCAGAGGGAACAAACTTTGTTTTACTTCCTTTAATTGCAGTGCAAAAATTTGTTTGAAGGCTTTACAATGGAAAATAAGCTTGGCTAAAGGTTTCCCAAAATAATCAACTGCAAGTAGTTTCTTCAGTGTTTCTTACTATGACTCACAATGTTCTTACATGGATTATTCCTGAAACAAGTTGGAAAAATGTCTACGCTAAGTTGAGTACAATAAACCCAGAGGGAACAACTTTGTTTTACTTCCTTTAATTGCAGTGCAAAAATTTGTTTGAAGGCTTTACAATGGAAAATAAGCTTGGCTAAAGGTTTCCCAAAATAATCAACTGCAAGTAGTTTCTTCAGTGTTTCTTACTATGACTCACAATGTTTCTTAATTAAGAAAATACAGAAGGTCGCACATACATGCCACTGTTTGTTCACTAAAGGTTTCATTTCATGATGCACATTACCAATGATGTAGCACAGAATATTACTATAGATCAGAAAAAGAAAACTGGAATGTCTCTTCAATAGGCACAAAATTTCTGCTCAATATTTTCGACACTTACATGATGAGTTACCATCACTGTGCATTTTAGCTGAGGGATTTTTTTTTTTCTTTTCCTACCTGAAAATTCCATACCATTTTCACAATAGTCTAGCTGCTCTGTCTTATTACCTTATTAGACTTGGTATCAAAATATATTATCCAACTACACAAGCAGTATACTGTACATAACCAATTTATTATTTCAAAATGGGTGTCCACTGTTTACATAGGTTCTGAAAATTGCATTGAATTTAATATATATAATTAAAGGGAATTTGAGAAACTACATGCACATCTAGCTGTAACAAGTTTACAAAATACAATAGGAACAGTCTTCAATTGGCAAAATGCAGATAGCACAGGCACCAGACAAGATACCTTTAAATACAATGTGACTAAAGTCTCAACTGATGATTGAAATATTCAGCTGAAATAATTTATATACACATGAAAAGGCCGATTTCAGATTGCCCACATATGCAATGCTATAAACCCAAGAAATCTTTACATGCATATCATGTACTGTGTGGCAGGTAGCATTGTTCATCATACTATAATTTAACATGAGGTTATCACACAAGCAGCATTTTTTTGGTTGGGCATTACATTTCAAAAGTATATTGCCTTGTTAATTTTGAAAGTGGACTGATGGTTAATGGTTTACTTGATACCCAATGAAAAGTAAACAAAGTAAAGGCCCATTCACATGATCCAATCTTAAAGCCTAGAATGGTCATCACCATAATGCAATTATCAATAATATTTCAGTGAAATAGGTTATCCAGGAACAGAAATTCCAATAAAATGAAGCTTTGTCTACCATCTATAGATTCTGGGATACTTAGAGAACCCTGGATTTCTCCTACATTTCATTGAGGGCCTAGTGTGTAATTTGGTGGTTAACTTTACATAAATACAAAATCATCAAATTGCATCATTTATATAAGCTTATCCTAAACAAACATCTGCTGACTACCTGCTCTAGATTCTGCCCAGGATTGACTGATTCAGTCACTAAAAGAAGACATTTGAATTGCCCACATACAGTACATACCCAAGCAACAGGTAATGCCCATCAGGCTGTTTAATCATGTGGGTGGGCCCTTAAGAGGAGAGTTTATCTAGTTTATTTTCTCTCTCTTGGGACACCGGTCATAATTATTGGAACTTGCCAATTATTATGCTTTTATTCATATACATTAAAAGAGGCTATGTCTAGAGGAGTGGGCATTATTGAATGCATGTCTCAAAAGTGACAGGCTGGGAAGGGATACCACTGGTTAAGCAACCATTTCCACTCTAAGACTGGCTATTTAGCCAGTAGTTAACTCGTATTTACCACCACTTCTCAGGCATGCCCTCTGGTCTTGCCTTCTTGTCTGGACATGGCTTAAAAAGATGAATGATTGGCTTACAAATGAAATTTGCTTCAGAATTAATACAACGTATGATAAGCAATAAATGACTTAACCCATCCTATGCACAGGGCTGTAGTCAATGTGGGCAAAAGTATTACCTAAACTAGGTGGGTGGCAGGAATGAGGTCTGATGACCTTTTAATCACACTCATACTGTGTCCATAGCGGTCTAGGTCAGAACTTGATTTGGAGTATTTTACTAAGACTATGGAAAAACTCTGAAGTGGCTATGTCAAATTTTGCCCACCTTAGTTTGCAATAGTGTAATTATGTTTGCTCACACAGGCATTGCCCTATATACAGACAGGCCCTAATGTGCAATATAATAATTATGTTTGCCTACATATGGACAAGGCCTAAGTAAATTTCTATTCAATCAGTCATTTCTTCCCTTATCTTTTTTACAATTTGCTTCAAATCATAATCAACACAATATATAATTTTCTTACTGATTAACTTCGCCAGACTTTAGTAAAGTATTAGATTATTAACAATTACTTCAAAAGACCATGTGTTCCTATTTCGCACTGCAGAGCACAAACACTTGCATGAACATTGAAGGTTGTGCGTGAAAACTTGCTTGTGTGATACCTCCTTTACCAGATTTAGGAAGATTCAATAACATGGTAAACTTCAGACTGCTGATACAATACTTTATCAACAGTGTTTGGGAAACTAGTATCACATGTTTTATGAGCCAGCAGGCAAATATCTTGCACATCAAAGCATGATAGCTGTTTGTTCTGTATATATATATATCAAGAAACATTGCCTTATCACATCATATATATATGTATGTATAATGATATTTTGTTTTGTTTTTAAACACTGGAAATAATAGCAAATTTAAATGACAATAGACTAAATATGACCTATATTGATGAATTACGTTAATTCCTGTCAACAAAAAAGTAGTCAAATTTAACACTACATGTATACTCACACCTGACTGACCAATGGCTGGTATGTACAAAAGACACCATGGATATTTCTTTATTCAAAATGGAAAGCCTCCAGTCTATGACATATTCTGTAAGAGCATCAAGGTCTCCTGTTTGAGGTAAAGATTATCGTCCAAGTTTGGATCGGTCACACTTGAATCCCACGTAAAATTGAAGACAACAGCTGGTACCAATCGAAGTTCAACCAGGCTCTGATCCTCTTCGGTTATCTACAAAAGAAAATGCAGAAAGTTAGAGAACTAGTCTGAGGAGATAGATTATTGATGATTATCTGCTACATCAACAGTCAGCTCATGAGCAAGAGGCCAAGACCTTATAAAAATATAATGCATTTATTTCAGCATTTTGTTGACAAGTAAAAATAACAATAGTGACAAGCTAATCTTGCCTTTCCACCACTGCTAAGACTTAAAAAGAATGGCCGCCAATCATTCTGTAGGTGTTCCCGTACAAAGCTCATTACTTCTCCAAACTTCTCGTATGTCCCAAAGGTCCCCTGGAGAATTAGACCATCTGGGAAGCGTACCCTAAGAAAGAAAAGTAAATATTAATTTTACCTGACCACCAAAACCTTTTATGCCCATAGTGTGTCTATTTTATAATTAATTTTCTTGCTAATTAACTTCTATAATTAAATACTGTAGTTCACAACATCACTTGAAAATGGCCTATATTGGTTTTCTCCAGAAAGGAAGTTGTTCATGTTAACCTTCCTTCATGTGTAATGCAGGCATCTGTGCTATTTATGTATGGCCCTGCTGAAACTGTATAGTACAAATAAAATTTCCATCCACCCCAATCATATTTTAACTCGGGACATGCTGATCTGTAAAATTAAGCTGTCAATAAGCAATGTCTCATAGGTATGACCATGTGTGTAGTTCTCACATGCCACATTTTCCTGGGCAAGTATGTTTCCCTGAGAAGTCTGGTAAACTGGATGGAAAATTATTCTAAATTTACCATAGGCAAGAGGGTTCACTGATTCTGTTAAAAATGTTAGTGGATAATCACTATAGCATATACCTGCATTTTGATTATTCTTTCTGTTAATTTACAAACTCCAATATGGAAACTTACCTTATTAAGCTAAACCTATACTTCCTCATTTCCCTCAACTCTTGGCGATCGCGCATAGCTTTCGTCTGGAGTATCATACTCCGCTCAACAGCAGTAGCTCTGTAAACGAAAATATGCATCCAGTTTCTAAGAGTGAGATTTATTTCATTTTTAGTATAATAACCATACTTAAACTTAAAAACTAATTTAATTTTCTTTACTCAATGTCAACAATGCACAATATCAAGAAATCCAATACCTTTGCTGCATTTCCTTTTTAAGTTCCTCTGCTGTTAGGTTGAAAAATTCTGCCGGCAAGTCTGTGTGTGAGGCAGCCTCAGTGGGCAAAAGAACTCTTGCACTTCGGTCCAACTGAGGTCGCACGGGCTCGGCACTTACCAGAGCATCACGTAACTGCTCTAAGGTACTCAGATCTTCAAGCTTGTCTTCTGGAAACACCTTTGAAAAAAAAGAACATAATGCTCTTTAATGTGGAATTTTTTAATTTTACATTTTATTATGTAGACAGCACATTATATTACAAGAAATGTTTTACTAAATACATCAAGAAGAAGAACTTAAAAACAATAGCTACCCAAAACTTGTCAGTTCCTTCATTGAAAGGTAGTTCCTGAACAACAAATCCTGCAGCTTCAAGGAATTCTTTAGTCCCTTCAATAGGTAGAATCCTTTCTTGAAAAGCTTTGTTTGACATCCTGATCTTTCTATACTTTTCCTCACTGGGGTTGGAAACAATATTTTCAATATACTTGCACAAAGTTTCATTACACACATTAATCTGTAAGTAAAAAGAACTATCAAAATTCAATTTTATTTATTTTATTTTATTTTTCTTTATTATTATTATTATTATTATTATTATTACTATTACTATTATAATATATATATACTTACTCACTCTCACTCACTCACACACACACACACACACACACACACACACACACACACACACACACACACACACACACACACACACACACACACACACTCACACACTCACACACTCACACACACACTCACACACTCACACACTCACACACTCACACACACACACACACACACACACACACACACTCACTCACTCACTCACTCACTCACTCACTCACTCACTCACTCACTCACTCACTCACTCACTCACTCACTCACTCACTCACTCACTCACTCACTCACTCACTCACTCACTCACTCACTCACTCACTCACTCCATTCAAAGATAACTCATATTCATATACACACCTTTTATTTAACCCATTGCTGCCGAGGAAAATTAACAAAAAAAAAAAAGGGGGAAATGCAGTACTCATTTTTTATATTTTTGTGAAATATCTCTGTCCATAGATGGCTCTGTTAGTCCTGATTTCACCTTTCCTTGAATTGGCGAGGAAAAACGTATTTTTGCTAGTGCTATAAATATAGATGGGTTATTTTTAACAGCAAATTAGGATAACATTAAACATTTTCGTAAATCAATGAAAAGGGTGAACGGGCAAGACAGGCAGTACTCGTAATTGGCTCATTGGGTACTTAGTACAAGTGTAGCCATCTATGTGTAAAAACAATCGAACAAGTCGACTCGCAGTGGGCATGGCATGTACGTACATGCCATCCCCGGCGGCAATGGGTTAATTGCATCTACTAATGCACATTCCTCACCTTTTCTTTGTTTTTGTTACAAGTTTGGATAATGAGGCAAGCTGCTATGCCTTTATCTTCTTCTATCTGAGAAAACAGAAATTCACGGATTTGTCTTTTGATTTCCTCATAAGTTGCAACTTCTGGCCCTGAAAAAGAAATAACAGATGATGATAATACAACAATAACTACTTGCTGGATGCAGATTAACAAAATACATACAATTAAATTACCACCACCACCTGGAAAAAAAACAAAAAACTATTGACTAATTCAGAGAAAGTACATACCAAGTAAAGGACAGTGGAAGAAAACTCCTTGTACAGCAAGCATGGGTGCTGCTTCCAGGCTGACCTCCTTGGGCCCAGGTGGTGCTGCCTGGTTCTCAAGGCTCAGCTGCTCTAAGGCCTTCTGCTCAGCTTCCAGCTCTCGTCTAGCTTGGGCCTTTATGGCTTGGAGGGACCTGTGGGATATCCATGAATACAGGTTTAAGGGTGTCAGAATCCTTTTACTAAAGAAATTTTAAAAAACTATAGAGTATAACAGCTAAACAAAGAAATTCAAGTATGCCTATTCCCTACAATCAGGATGATGTGACCACGACATCACAAAAAAATTTGGCTTAAGGGTCAGGTGATATGAACTTGCCATTGTAAGCAATTTAGCTAAAAGCCAGGTGATGGGAAAGACTTGCCACAAGTGCACAAACCTCTTGGAGGGTGATTAGACTCATATGACATCTAGAAAATGGCTTCTGTATTATTTCTGTCTATAAATGAGTGGAATGTAGTGTGTACAAGCCATGACTGGAAGAATGCTGGCTCCAGGGAGGATGCCATTTCCATACTTGGCATCTTATTCCTGGCCATAGTGACTGTGGCACAGGTTGTATTACAGAATAAATGAATAAAAAAAAAAAAAAGGAAAAGAAAAAAAATCAAAATGACAAATAACTAAATATTACTTTTTGTTATTATTCTTGCACTGAGTTATGTACTACCTAGATAGATGATATGGAATCTGTACAAGGAAAACAATCTATTACCATCTGGATAAATCAAATCAAATGACAAATATTGACATTCGAAAATAAAAATGCTAAAAAATGCATATGCGTAAGAAGAGAAAGTAATATAGGAAAGGGGAGGCATAGAGTCTTGTCACTGCAAATGAGTGTTTGCTTGCACCCAGCCTACAAACTATGCAAGAGTGGCCAGATTCAATGGGCTAAATATTTCCAGAGGGTTACCTTTCAATAGCAACTTTGTAAATTGCCAAATATTTCACATTCAAAGCACAATACCTGACAAAGGTTGTGATCATTTCATAGGAACAATATTTAACATATCTTAAAAGAAATACAAAACAGACTCCCTACCAGTTAACATCAACTCGTTTAGACTGAGTCTCCATCCTAGCCAGAGCTGCAGCACCAGCTCGCTGGGCATCCTGTGTTGGAACATGCCTCTGCTGCGGGTAATTCTGTTTTGGTTGTTTGGAGCGCTCACTCTCCTCCTTGGTCAAACTGTTGGGTATCCAATTGTATGAATATCACAAAAAGAAAAGATAAGGGGAAACAACCAAATAAGAATCAAACATAGCATATCTTCATATTAATCGCATAACAGTTTAGCATGTCTTACTACTGAGGCTCTGAGTCTCTCTCTCATTATCTCTCTCTCCCCTTCTCTCATTGTCTCTCTTTCTCTCCTGCTCTCACTGTCTCTTTCCCCCTCCCTCTCTCATTGTCTGTCAGTCTTTCCCTCTCTCATAATCTGTGTCTGTCTCTCCCTTTCATTCACATTCTCTCCCAGCCTCTTTCTCTCTAACTCTCCCTGCTTTGCTCTCTTTCACTCTCTCCTACTATCTGTCCATCTGTGCCTTTCACTTTCACTCTCATATATGTATATGTGTGTGTGTGTGTGTGTGTGTGTGTGTGTGTGTGTGTGTGTGTGTGTGTGTGTGTGTGCGTGTGTGCGTGTGTGCGTGTGTGCGTGTGTGCGTGTGTGCGTGTGTGCGTGTGCGCGTCTGTGTGTGCGTGTTCGTGTCTGTGTGTGCGTGTTCGTGTCTGTGTGTGCGTGTGCGTGTGCGTGTCTGTGTGCGTGCGTGTGCGTGCGTGCGTGTGTGTGCGTGCGTGCGTGTGAGTGAGTGAGTGAGTGAGTGAGTGTGTGTGTGTGTGTGTGTGTGTGTGTGTGTGTGTGTGTGTGTGTGTGTGTGTGTGTGTGTGTGTGTGTGTGTCTGTCTGTGTGAGAGTGAGTGTGTGTGTGAGAGTGAGTGAGTGTGTATTCATTCATTCACTTATTCATGCACACTACAACTACTACTATTAACAACAATAATAATAATAGTAATATATATATGAATTAATAATATCATAAATGTATTAATGAATGCTACATGGAGGTAAAAGCTGTTTCAACATCCTCACTAATTGGTGTGACTCATCAACACCTGGTCACATGTGTGCAAGGGATATATCATGTGATCAAACATATTTACAGAGCATACTCTACAAATGCAAAAAAACAAGTAAAGAAAAAACAACAACACTTACCTGTGTCCTTTGCCTGCAAGCTTGAATTTTGTATCAGCTTTCTTCTTTTCAAAGAATTTCTTTAAAGCGTCCATGGTTCCTTCCTATTCAGACACAGTAATGGAATGGTATTATTACTCTTGAATAAAGCAAACATAAATCATTTTTGTCACTATTTTCAAGTCCAATATCAAACATGGCAAATACATGGCTACATATAAAAATAAGTAAACAAGTATATAACAAGACAGTAAGAAATTTTTTCACCTTGAGTTAAATATTAAGGGCGGGCAGGATTATCTTTGTTGATTTTGAAGTTTGTGTTCCTTTTCAGGATGTCCTCAACTATGCGTAGGCTGTCTGTTGAATGGAAAATGGGAAGAAAATTAAAGTTGAAAGTCAAACTTGAGTCCTTATCCAGATACAAATTTTGTTATTATTGTTCTCAAGTGCATTATAGAAGTAGCATGTTAAAAAAAATAAATGAATAAATAAAAGAAGAGAGAGAGAGAATCTTTTCTGCTTTTAACTCATTGTTGACAGAACTTGCATCATGAAAAAATTTGGCTAACAGCCAGGGTAATGGGAACGACTAATCATGAACACACGAAACTCTTGGAGGAAGATTTGATTTGGTGGACATTTAGGAAGGGGCTCTTGTATTATTGTATTGAAACACAAGGGTGGACTGTACTATATGTGGGCCATAGCTGGAAGAGCACCGGCTTCAGGAAGGACACTAGTTCCATGCTCAGGATCCTATTCCTGCCTGTGACCAGTGGTACAGGGTGTGTTATGGAAAATTGAATATGGAAATATAAAAAAAAAAATTACACAAATAACACATTACTTATTGGTCTTGCTATTATACAGAGTTGTAGACAACCTTGAGATATAATATGGGGTCTGCTCATTGAAAATAGTCTATTCCCATTATGATGCAGAATGATAAATGTCAAAAGAGTTTATGCAGAAAAAGAGATAATAACATTGTAGAGGAGAGGCAAAGAGTCTTGATACCAAACATGAGTGTTTGTGTGAGCTCAGCCTACAAACCATGCAGACGGAACAGGTGTCACTTATGCAAGCCTAATGCCTGAATTTTGGCTCATACACAAGGAAAATCTAATTCTAATCACTAATTTTATGAAGTAATTCTCTTTCCCATGTATCCCTTGCACTTTTTTTACACCCAGAAATAAAGGTTGTTTATCTAGCTTGTTTATCTATACTAATTCTTTTCATTTACTACATAATAATAGACCTATTACAAATCTAAAAAAATTGTGTCCATTCATCTTTCAAAGCTATAATATCATAGTGAAAATAGTCTATTCCCATTATGCATGCAGAATGATAAATGTCAAAAGAGTTTATGCAGAAAAAGAGATAATAACATTGTAGAGGAGAGCAAAGAGTCTTGATACAAACATGAGTGTTTGTGTGAGCTCAGCCTACAAACCATGCAGACGGAACAGGTGTCACTTATGCAAGCCTAATGCCTGAATTTTGGCTCATACACAAGGAAAATCTAATTCTAATCACTAATTTTATGAAGTATTCTCTTTCCCATGATCCCTTGCACTTTTTTTACACCCAGAAATAAAGGTTGTTTATCTAGCTTGTTTATCTATACTAATTCTTTTCATTTACTACATAATAATAGACCTATTACAAATCTAAAAAAATTGTGTCCATTCATCTTTCAAAGCTATAATATCATAGTTTGAGAACTTGCATATGCCCTAAAAAAAAACAAAAAAACATTACATATTCCTATTCAAGACTCTAGTGGTTAGTTTTACTGTTACCCAACAGCAAAACTTAAAAGGAATTGCTACTGGCCAAGGTGTATATAAATTGTACAATAACTAAGGTAAAAAGTTAATAATACTGAATACAGAAAACAATTCCAACTGAAGTTATTCCTACTCTATATTGTTAACTGTGTTGATCCCTTGACAATGCATAAGGCTATGGTCATGCTAATATGGGTCTTTAACCCCATAAAACCTTAAATTATTGGGGATTAGGTAACTTACAGCTAATTACTGATCTATGCCCTATGGGATCATACACTCTGGCATCAGGAAGACTTCCTCAGAGCCATTCCAAGAAAATTCAATATAATAATAATGGCAATAACATAATTCTTTATAATTAAATAACAATTATAGTAATAACAATACAACAAAAAATAAAACGAACAAACATACAAAATAGGATCATTAAGCAAACTTAAGAAATACCTAAATCAAGGGTAATAAAAATGTAAAGAAAAGGAAATATACCATAAACATCGATCCATACAACTTACTGTAAGAGAGCGTGTGAGAGATCCGCTGGGCATACACATACCAGAAGACCGTAATCAGAACAAAATTGACAACCAGGATGATGGCAAATGCTTTAAAAACATGGCTTTGAAGGGGAGTAAAGCCAAGCCACCATATCAAATCAGTCCAGCCAGTAACTGCAGTCTCTGTAAACAAACAAACAAACAAAAAAAAAATAATAATAATAATAATAATAATAATAATAATAATAAATAATAATAATAATAATATAATAATAATGGCAATAACATAATTCTTTATAATTAAATAACAATTATAGTAATAACAATACAACAAAAAATAAAACGAACAAACATACAAAATAGGTCTTAAGCAACCTTAGAAATACCCTAACTAAGGTAAAAAGTTAATAATACTGAATACAGAAAACAATTCCAACTGAAGTTATTCCTACTCTATATTGTTAACTGTGTTGATCCCTTGACAATGCATAAGGCTATGGTCATGCTAATATGGGTCTTTAACCCCATAAAACCTTAAATTATTGGGGATTAGGTAACTTACAGCTAATTACTGATCTATGCCCTATGGGATCATACACTCTGGCATCAGGAAGACTTCCTCAGAGCCATTCCAAGAAAATTCAATATAATAATAATGGCAATAACATAATTCTTTATAATTAAATAACAATTATAGTAATAACAATACAACAAAAAATAAAACGAACAAACATACAAAATAGGATCATTAAGCAAACTTAAGAAATACCTAAATCAAGGGTAATAAAAATGTAAAGAAAAGGAAATATACCATAAACATCGATCCATACAACTTACTGTAAGAGAGCGTGTGAGAGATCCGCTGGGCATACACATACCAGAAGACCGTAATCAGAACAAAATTGACAACCAGGATGATGGCAAATGCTTTAAAAACATGGCTTTGAAGGGGAGTAAAGCCAAGCCACCATATCAAATCAGTCCAGCCAGTAACTGCAGTCTCTGTAAACAAACAAACAAAAACAAAAAAAATTGATGAAGAAAATGTATATGTATATGCTAACACTATCAATTAATTTTCATTATGATATATAACTATCACTTCAATTTTCAAATGAACTGTGTGTTAAAACTCCCTAATATAGGTTGACAATCCCATATTCAAACATCTGAAAACTGAAAACGGAGTATTTTTATTGTGGATTTTGGCTTGCAAACAGCCTACCTACTTGACCTGCTCATGGTCTTAATTATCCTTACTTCATTTATCATTTTATTATGCAATAAATAAACTGTAATAATATTTGCTGTCTTTTTTATCCCTCAAAGTGTAAGTATTTATACATTTTTGCTGCAATACTGTCTGAATTTTTGAAAAAAACAATAAAATTAGAAAACCAAAACATAACTGGCCCCAAAGATTTCAGTGATGCAAATCTAGGTGTCATTATTTTGCCTCTCTGTCACTTGGCTAGCTATGACATGACCACCAGCTTCATTTGTTTATCTACCACTGCCAATCTAGAAAGGTATATTTCCTTGAATTGCTGATATTTTACCCTTAAATATGCCTCCTAAGAAACAAGCAAGTATTTACCTTTTGTGACAATGCAGCAAAATGTAAAAGTAACTTTACTTCTCTATCGAAATGTCAACAGTGAAGAACAACTTGCCTGGTCCCACGCAAGCCAGACTATACTGCCTCTAATTTCAGGAAAGATAAAACTGGAAACTCAAACTGGACTGAAGTACCTCAATTCACCAGGTCTCTTGTAAAAAAAAATAAATAATAGAATAATAATAATAATAATAATAATAATAATAAAAATAAATAAATATATTAATAATAATAATAATAATAATAATAATAATAATAATAATAATAAATAAATAATAATAAATAAATAATAATAATAACATTATTATTATTGTTAATGATAAATAAATAAATAAAGTTAAGGTCATACATGTTATTCTTTTGAAAACTTTTACATATATATATATATTTTTTTTTGCATTCTCTGTCTTCAGAAACTCTAGTTTTTTCATAAAAGAGATTTGGAAAATCAGTGTATTCCAAAACTGAGGGTGAGCTGCCAGTTTCCCATCTGTCTGAACACATTCCTGATTTCTCCATCAATGTCTACTTTCTTTTAATTCCAACTTATAAATCAACTAATACTGAGGCACAATATGTCCAACCTACTTAGACATACCTACACAAAACCAAGGGAACCAATAGCTGGAGTCTTATAATCAACACCAACTACTTGGCTCCCAGTAACGTAGTGCTCTTGCTCCCCTATATTAGAAGAAAGACCTCAACAGCACCACCCACCAATCAACTATAATCATGAAAACCCTTCTTCATCTCCACAAGCAAAGACTTTAATACTGAGGCATCATGGAGGGCTGACTGGGGAGAGACCCTTCCAAGAGGAGACCTGGTTGATGACTCAACAAAACCTCTCCCAGACCTCACAGGGAGAAAGTAGACCATGACAAACTAAATAACATCAAGCCATTGCAGAACAGCAGCTAACATGGACCATTGGGAACTAAAAACACTCACTCCTCTGTCCTGCATGCCATACAGAACCCCAAGGCACAGGTCATCTTGTGTTACACTCTCCTGTAATAAGAATACCTAGTGGCTTTGCAACAGCCCACAAGCCTGGAAGAAATTTCAGGGAAAGGGCCATTTAGCTAGTTATGGAGATTTTGCCACACAATACTAACAGTGGACATAAAGTCTCTTTTTTGCCTCATTTCCTAAAAAGAAAGAAAGAAAGAAAAAAAATTCTATGCCAGTTACAATATATGAAACATTAATAATGAATATTCAAATGACAGCTCTTGGAGCCTAACTTATTGTAATCAGAACAAAGCTATTTGAACCCTAACTAATCCATAACTTCCATATGATAAATGTTCTATCTACATATTATCTAAGGTAGATTTTCAAAATAAATTTATCCGAAGTACTTACAAGACAAGTAGCAGCACTCTGTCGAGTTAAGCCCCGCCCCCTTCCTGACAGTTTATTGCAAATATTAAATGGGTTTCATTATTTCCTGCTTTTCTTTCCTTTTCTCTTGCTCACTTACCAATATCATTATTGACTAATTTTCAAAGAAAATGTACAAAGAAAACATTTATCATAATGTATCACACAGACTAACAGGTGTGACAATGGAGATGAACTAATTCATATCATCGCATTTAGATAATGACAATACTCTGCGAGATGACAGATATAGCTATATAGATGATGATTTGTACAATTTCCAGGAATTTATTATGACTAGAAGTAAAACAAGAATTTCATGTTTTTTTTTTTCCTAATGACGATATTCCCCATACCATGAACAGCTCTCAGAATACTCATTATGAAATGTCTATTCGTTTGGCACATTAGCTGGCTAAACAGAATTGGCAGTATCTCTCTTCTTTAAGGGCATTCCATCCACGCACCTGCCTCTGCACCCGTCTGGTGGGTATTTGCTAAGATATTTTGCAGACCACCCTAATGATTTGTAATCAAACAAGCGACTAGTCTGAGCAGAAACATGCCAGAATAAAGGACATGACACTATGTCAAATCATGTCAGACCAATATTGTACGCCTTCTATCACAAATCCCCAAATTTCAGCGGATTTGGAGACAGTCTACATAATTATGAGGAAATCCATTTTCTTTTTATTCACTACCCACTACTACAACTTCTCATTAATACATATGGATATATTAAGTGACGCAAACCCATTAACAAGCCAACTGTTTTTGTAAACAAACTGTCATACGAACTTTGAGCTGGCAGGAAAATTATAGGACAAACATTTCAAAATTGCAAAAGGTTGTGAAAACAATGATGGACAAAGAAGTAACAACACATAAGTAAAAAAAAAAAAAAAAAAAAAGGTAATATCTCACTCACAAAGAAACAGGTACCAATCAATATTCTACCCACAACTAACCTCTGCACTTAATATCATCGCCAACCCCTCTACGCAATACAATGAGAACTTAGCCTTTACTACAAGATAAAAAAAACAAAAATAAACCTTCATACCAGAAACCCTTCCCTCACAAACCATACCCTTAAAACCTTAAAAAACAATAAACCAAAAAAACAAAAACAAAAAACAAACAAACCAAACCCAACAAAGCAAGCAGGGTCCTCACCTCTGACCTGCTGCAGCGACCTGGGGGACACCTGGCCTTCCTCGCCCAGCAGCGCCTTGGCCACGCACGCCAGCACCCACCCGAGGGCCGAGGACACCTGCGTCAGCGTCGAGTTCAAGCCTGCAGCGACCTCGAGGGTGACTTCATTCATCCCCGTGTGCTGGTCGAGGTCATGGGGCGATGGGTGTGAGAGAGAGAGGGGGAGAGGGGGGGAGATAAAGAGAGGTGGTGATAACAATGGGTGTGGACGAAGATCAAGGAAAACGAAAATGAAAGAGAGGGGGAGAGAGGGAGAGAATCGCTCCGAACAATGACACTTATATCCGGAGGAGGAGGCGAGAAAGCGCAACTGAGAAGGGCAATGCCCAGGTCAAGCGGAACTCAAACAACGGGTACTGACAGGAGAACAAGGTGGTGTGACGAGGCAGTGACACTCTATTAAAAAAGGAACGAAAATGGAAGAGGCCTGGCGAGCGAGTCAGATGACGGCGCTCACGA